GTGTCACTGGCCCTCATATGTGGGATCCGAACCGGGGCCCTCTGGCATCCCAAGCGAGTTCTTAACCATCGCGCCACTCGGCCGGCCCTAGACTTTTGATGCTTTAATATTAGATGACCAATATTGAACTTTATATAAAGCTGAACCCTTTGAAGAAAATTTTCACTTCTCCCCAGTGACTTAGCATAATGTAACTAAATTCAGCTATTAGTATTTTAATACTATTAATGTTACCATATATGAATAAATTTTAAGACATTTCCTGGTTTCCATTTGAAAAATTAATATATTTTCTTTTTATAAACATGTAGATAGAGCATTTCTTTATAAGTGATTATTAGTATGGATGCAGTTGATATTCTTTGTAATGATTCTAGCATGTTACCCCAATAATTGATTCAAAAAGATTTCGAGAAAGAAGAATGAGTAGATTTTTTTTAACTCTTTGGCTCCCAGTTTGAACTATCTGTGGAGAGATCCAGATATAGTCAGAGAAATTCTGTGTTTAAGGAGGCTGGCTGTAGCTGAGGAAGAAAAAGTGACTGCTTACTTTGGGGGAAATGAGTTTACCTATGCAAGTCTTCATTTTGTTAATCTGTTGTGTATAGACTCAGGGGAGAGGACTGTAAACTCGAGGGAATACGTTATCAAAGAGAAAAGGGGGAAAGGGTCTTGGTCATTTATTGGCCGCAGGATATGCCAAAAGATGAAAACTTAAGGGTTAATTGAGGAAGGGGGTTTAGACTTTGAAACAGGAATTTTAAAAATCATCTACTGCTGAAGGAAAGTGATATGTATTCCTGAGGTCAGTTGTCTACTAGTATAATAAGGCCCAAGTAGCATTTTAGGATAGTAAATAAAGATGCTGAACTTCATTAAAAGTCATAACCCATCCCAGTGATGGACTAATGACTGTGGTTCTGGCCACCATTTTTCACACTGCAGAAGCCAACTGTTCAAAGAGTCTCAGTCAGCATTTGTTTAATGATATAGAGTGGGAAATACCAGGATGCCCTGCACTTAGTATCACTAAGTCTTGTGTTTCAGTGTGTACATATAAAGTAAACATGAACACTGAAGAGATTAGAGGTCAGAAAGCATCAGGTCAGGCACAGGAGTCAGGGCCAGACTTTCACAAAAACTGGAACCACAGAGGCCTCTAGAAATAAAGAATAATGAGTGAAGGAAATGTGACTGGTAAAAGAAAAATCTTTGAATAGGAAAGAAAAATTACAGGATTGTGGTAGGGATCTGTGCCAAATACCTTATAAATGTTTTAACCATCTCATAGTGATGGTATAAAATAGGTCTTATACTCATTTTACAGATTAAGGAAATTTGGTAGAAGGAATTAACTTGTTCAGGATCACTTATAAGCGGCAAAGCTGGAAATGAACTTCCAGAAAAATCACTCCCTGCTTTGCTGCTGGAGGAGAGAACTCTAAATAGCACAGTGGGCAATAGCAGTGGAAGAGAGAGCAACCGGCAATCTTGAGGATCCCGGGAGAAAAGAAAATGGCTTATATTGGCAAGAGGTCGCTTCCTGATACCAAGCTGAAAATGAGATGTTTTCACCGCCGGTGGTCCGACCTATAAAAAGATTAATCTTTAAAGAAGTCATTCTCAATTGTAGATTCTGTACAATCCAAATGGTGTTTTGCTGTGGCTTTAGTCTTCCATTTCATTCTAGGCATCCTGTACAGATGGGAAGCTTTTCAATCATTTGGAGACTGTTTGGCGTTTCAGCCCCGGTCTGCCTGGCTACCCAAGAACTTGTACCTTGGATTTTTCAGTAAGTCTCTCATAAAGCCCTTGATTTGTTCCAAATATCAGGTGACGTTGGTAAACAAGGAATAATGCATTGATTAGAACCCAGATGCCATAATTAATAATCTTAATGTGTATAGTGATTACTGAAAGGCTTAAAACAATCTCAAAGTTTTGAGTATCGAATACCTTTTTTTGCACTAATTTTATAAGAAAGAATACTAATGAATCTTTCTCTTTTTTATTCTATCTTTTGAAACCTTGAATAGTCTCATTCCTTCTCTATTTTCTAATTTTTCTAAGTCCATAGATTATGAGACATGCTATAACTTTACTACCAGTTTCAGAACAGTTTATTAAATGAACTGTTCTGAAATGAAAGCTACAAATGAAATCTACACATTGGTCAGCATCTTACAATGCAGAAATAAAGTGCAAAAGGGGAAAATACATTTTTAAAATCTAGGGACTAGGGTATTTTCTTGTTCACATCACCTTAGCTATAGAAAACTTAAAATCACTTGTGGCTTTTTCTCTGCTAACAAATACTATATGTGTTCTCTATATTTGCAACTGAGGCATTACATTTTAAGAAGTGGTTATAATTTTGATTAAATTCCTGTATGCTGTTCTCAGCTCTGGAGTTGCTTTCATTAAAATAATAGTGGACATTAATGGGACAGTTGGAGAAATTTGAATAATGCCTGTGTAGATTAGATAATAGCATAGTTATCTAGTGGTATTAACTCCCTCTGTTAGTTTCCTGGTTTTAATAATTGTGCTGTGGTTATAGAAAACATAAAAATAGGGGAATATGAGTGATGGGGATATGAGAAATCTTTGTACTATTTTTGCAACATTTTTATAAATCTTTAATTATTTCAGAATTAAAAATTAAAAGTTTTTAAAGTTAGTGGATATTAGGTCCTTAAAACACTTTCTCAAACCTTGCCTTGCATTCTATCTTAAGGGAATATAAAGTTCTAGCTCATTGTCTACTTTAAGATTGAGCCACCTCCCCTGTCTGTTTTGTGGACCAGTCTCGTGCTGCTGCTTCTCATGGGAATACCTATCAGGAGGACCACGTCTCTTCCTTATTTCCTTTAGGGAGTTAGGATAAACCTAATAGGGCCCCATTAATAAGAAGCCAGAGTGATAAACGTGGTATTCAGCGAAGACATTTTTCCAGTTTTGTTTTGTTTTTAAGTTAATAAAAGCAGACTCTTTGCCTTGAAATGAGAGTCACTGGCCTTGTTAAGTTTATTGTGCCAGCTGTTGTGCTTATTGCAGTGCATAAGACTCCCTCTTCTGAGAGGTGTTAAAAATCTCATCTAGGGCCGGCCGAGTGGCTCAGTTGGTTAAGAGCTCACTCAAGGGTCTGAGCTCTGAGCAATAGCAGTTCGATGCCCGGTCCAAGCTGAGCTGCCACCAAGCTGCCAATAGGTAATGGCTCAGCTAAAAAAAAAAATTTTTTTTAATCTCATCTAGATATTCCCATACAGCTCCGCGTTAGAAAATGGGCCAAGCAGCCCATTTCACGTTGTGAACACCTCTACCCTAAGAGATTTAGTAAAGAAAAGATATTGCTAAATTAATTATTCATATTTTCCTACAGATTTCTTTTGAATTTCGGTCACTTCTACACTCTCAGCTTGCCACATTGTTTTTCGATGAAGTTGTAAAGCAGATGGTAGCTGCCTTTGAAAGAAGAGCTTGTAAGCTGTATGGTCCAGAAACAACTATACCTCGGGAATTAATGCTTCATGAAGTTCATCACACGTAAAGGGAAAAAAGAACTGGAACTGGTCACCTACTTGTAATTTTAGTTTATTCACTTTTAGAACATGCTTTTATCATTTGCTTTCAGACGTCAGAAAGCACTTGTTCAACCCAGCTTTGATTATAAGCCTACACTGCTGAAAATTTGCTCTTGGAATATGGAACCATGTGTACCTAGAATTCAATCAAGTATAATTCAAAGTAATGTGTACAGTAGCATATTTATAATAATGGGATGTCATCGCTATTGCTACAATACTGACATCACTCTTCTGAGCAGAAACCGAAACTGTAAATTTAAACCTTTTAGTTATCACCTTACCTGAAAGAGGTTAGTTGAAATAACTCACCCAGAATGTATTATATTAACCATCAAGTTTAAGTTATTAAATTCAGACTATTTATAAGTTATTGTCATAGGGCCTGCCTCATGGGTTAGGATATTTGAGTAATCATCAGATACTTACAGTAAAAACTTTGACTTAAAAATACTGTTAATGAAGGTTCCCTGGCACTTTTCTTATTTTTAAATTATTCTTACAGGTAGTGGTAGGTAATTCAATGCTATAATGAGGTTAGCGCCCTGATAAACAGTGAATTTTTTTTTTTTTTGGTGAGTGGTCCAGAGCTTTAAGCTACTGTTCTCATAGTTTGCAGCCCTCTCCCCGGTACTTTGACTGTTCTTTCAATAATGCTGATTGTGCATCAAACTGTGTCTACAATGGGCAACAGATGAAGTTGGTTAATATGTCTCCAGCACCAAGCATCCCTATTTTCTATTTATTATGAGTACTCACTTTCAATAATGTATTTCAAACAGATATTTTTGTAAACAAATCAATGTAAGGACTGAAGTGGTAACTTAATAAAGTTAATTTGTTTATTTTTTGCACAGTTATTTTGGTTATTGAAATCTTCAACAACCCTCTTGTATTACCCTTCCAACTTATTAACTATGTTTCCTCAGATCAGTAAGGGGCCTCAATAATTAGCTCTCCATAAATGCATGTTTGCCTCAGTTTGTTCAGTGAATGTGTTTTGAGTACCTGCTCTCTGCCAGAGGCAGGGTATGCAGTGGTGGAGGATTCACAGGCCACTCACAGAGCTGGGTTGTGCTTTCACACAGCAAAGCAATCTTTCCACTGACAGATGAGGTCTCTCCCCAGAGCATAAGCAGTTTATATATAATTTATGTACCTTTTAAAACAAAGTTTTAAAAAATGGCAGCGAGGGGGCCGGCCGAGTGGCTCAGTTGGTTAAGAGCTCG